CCGGTGATCGGCGAGTCGCGTGCGCTGGATTTCATACGTGAAATGGAGGAACGCAAACTTGAGAAGCTTGTTGAGTCAACCCGTACTACGGCAAGAAGCCTTTGGCTCTGGAACCAGACGGCTTCTTGGTCTGGACACCTACAGGACTTCCTCGAGGATGGAACCAGGGCCTCACAGTTGCAAGCTCTGAATGCTGAAGATTCTCCGTTCAAGTGCCTCAGCGACAGCGAGAAGTCTGCCATTGCAGAGGGTGTGGGGCTCGATGACAAGTCAGGCTGGAACTACCTGAAGGCGATCCCTTGCTCAAGACAGAAGCGAAAGCGCCTCATGAACATGTCCTGGGTCATTCACCTGTTCGCCGGCGAGGGCAAGAATGCGGACCCGGTGTTCAAGGAGCTTGAGGACTCAAGGGTTCTTGTAGAGGTTGACATCACGAAGTCTATGGCTTTCGATTTGTTCAAGGTATCGGGTGCCTATCGGGCTCTCCTTTGGGCGGCGGCCACAGGACGCGTGGATGGAATAATCGGTGCTCCGTGCAGAAGGGAAGGTGACTCTGTGCTCCTTTGGAAGCAAATTTGGCTGCTTACGGTTGCAAAAGCGGCCCGTGCTGTGAGTGCTGAGCAACCAGTTTTCATGATGATCGAGGGTGCCAAGTTGCTAAAGGACATTCACTCCAAGGATTACGACAGATGGCCGTCAGTCAAGGAAGCATGGGGTGGTCTTCTTGAAGCCTTGTGTTTGGAGGAGTTTAGTCCGAACATAGTGACCAACCTACAACTAGGAGATCCTGTACCTGACTGTGGTGATTGTTCGAGAAGGTGGACTGAGCCCTTCAAGCTTTTGGTGAAGCAAGCTGTGCATCTTTGGGATGCTACCCCTGAAGGTTTGCAAGTGACGAAATGGGTGAAAAGGTTGGCTTCTGGGGAGCCAGACTATCTTCAGGACTTCACAGAGAAGGAGCTTGAGATGTGGAAGAACCACGTACAGAACAATCACCGACCGTTTCATCGGCGATGTCGTACTTGCGTGGTTAGCAAGGGCACAGGCCGCATTCATCGGAGAGTACGCCATCCAGATGTTCATTGTCTGAGCTTGGACATTATGGGGCCTTTCAGGGCGAAGTCTGGTGATCCGAACCATCGGGATTATCGATACATGCTTGTCGGTACTTACACGATGCCGAAGATGAGTGAGGATTTAGAGGAGGAAACGCCTCTATCACCTGAGCCTGAGGATGTTCCGCAGGCTGCCCTTGAAGATGAGCAGGTTGATGATTCTGGTGAACGTGAAGACCAATCCCAAGTTGCAACTCCAGTTGAAGAAGAATGGGATGAGCTGGATCCAGTTGAGCTACGAAAGGAAGTTCGTGGAGATTCGGCTTGCGACCTCAAGGGCCTCACTGAGGAGGAGTTCCTCAAGATCTTTAATGAAGTGGGCAAGCCTTATGATGTTCAGGTGATTTACGTCTCTATGCCACTTCGCGGAAGAACCTCAGCAAGAGTGCAAAGTGCCGTGCAGGAGATCTTCTTGAAGTTGAGAAGCGAGGGTCTTCAAATTACGAGGGTGCATGCAGATCGGGCGCGTGAGTTTAGAACGGAGTCCTTGAAACGGTGGGCCCTTCAGCACGGCGCTTTCATGACTTTCACTGAAGGCCAGGCCCCTCAACAGAATGGAAGAGCTGAAGCTGCTGTTCGGTGGCTAAAAGATGAAATCAGAATGCTTTTGCAGGCCTCTGGGTTGCCTAAGTCGTGTTGGGCAATGGCTGGAAACTACGCAACAGCCTGGCAACGAGCTAAGGCCCTCGGAAGTCTAGTACCTCCATTGCCTTTTGGGACTGACGTGCATATTCGAGCCAAGGTGTATGGCACGGGGCAGCGGTACGACCTTGATAGTCGATGGAGAAAAGGCACTTATGTTGGGCCCAGCTTTGATGTTCGAGGAGGCCATGTTATTAAGTTCCCAGACAACACGTATACAACGACAAAGCATTTGAGGCCGAACCTGGTGAACTCTGACGGCCTTGTGGACCTTGGGACACATGAAGCTCTTATTCCTTTGCCTCCAAAGAGACTGAGGAGAAAGTCCACAGTAAGTGAAGAACCGGTTGCGCCGCAGGAGGAGAACGTGGGACCTTATGATCCTGAGCATGCAGCTGAACAGTATGCAGCTGGTTTGCTGGAAGAGGATGAATTGGTGCAGGACCAGATTATTGAGATCTTGGTTCATCTCCTTCCGTCGGTGACGGAGATCCCAAAACGTTTTGGGGAGCAAGAGACTGATTGCAAGATTTGGGCTGCAGGAGCGTTCGTTCACGGTGGAGTTGTGGGAGTGAAGAGGGCAACGACTACGTTTCCACTTTCTACGAAGGTGATTGTGAAGTACGTGAAGCAGATTGCCCCGGACCTCAAGTTCAATGCGATTGCGGTGAATGTCAATGTGAAGACGCAAGAGCACAAGGACGTTCACAATGTGGGAACGTCTATGATTGCAGCTGTGTCTCATTTCAAGGGAGGTGGTTTGGATGTTGTAACTCCAGATGGCGTACAGAGGCTAGAGTTGGGCTCTGGTCCAGGCTTCTTCGACCCGCACCACAAGCATTCAACAGTACCTTGGTCAGAAGGCAACAGATCTGTCCTGCTGGCTTACTCCATTCGAGATAGTGGAAAGTTGACGCAAGACAAGGTGGATATTCTCATTGACTTGGGCTTCTGTTGGGTTCCACATTTGTCAGCCACCGAGCGAGCTGAAGAGAAACCAACGTTGTCGGTGTTGCAAGTTAACTTGCTGACAAAAGATTCAGAACGTGATCTACCGCCACCAGGTCCCTCAGATTCAGAACGTGATCTACCACCACCAGGTCCCTCAGATTCAGGACGTGATCTACCACCACCAAGGGGGTCTTCAACTACAGGGTCGTTTGGTGGAAGTGGTCTCCTTCACATATCCCAGGACATGGACATAGCCATACAGGACCTAGAAGAGAAGGCTGAAAGGTTACGAAGCCTGCTTGAGGAGGAGGAGATTCTTGTGGAACAGTATAGCAGGGTGGAGTCTGAATCAAGGGGGCATCTGGAGGACACGAGAAGCCAGATCAGCGAGTTTCTGGACTACATACACGAGGAGCTAGTTGGGTTGGAGAAGGTGCGGATGGCAGCGTGTTTGAGTTCGGTGACCAAGAGCTCTTCATCGAGGACTAGTGAGCATGGAAGCGAGGATGTCGATTACGAGAAGCTTCTAGATGAACTGGAGGACGACCTCAGAGTTGTTCATACGGTCCCGGTTGCTCAAGTCAAGAGGGTTCTAGAGAGGTGGGTCGAGTCCATCAAAAAAGAAGTCGAGAACTTGTTCGCCTCGAAAACGTTGCGCCGAGTCACGGCCGAAGAAGCGAGACGATTGGAGAAATCTGGACAAGTGATGTTCGCACCAGCGAAGTGCGTGTTCACACTAAAGCCCCCTCAGGAGGCTGGTCGTCGAGCAAAGCGCAAATGTCGCTTAGTGATATGTGGGAATTACGTAGAGCGAGGCCAAGAAGGACAAGAGGACCTCTACGCGGCCGGAACTTCTTCTGACTCCCTGAGGATGTCATTGGTGATAGCAGCCATTCGTGGGTGGCTAGGCGCTATTAGCGACGTGACAGGAGCTTTTCTACTAGCAACCTGGCCGGAAGGAAAAACTCGCTATGGTTTCTTTCCACCAAAGGTGGTACGCGATGCTGGTTATGGAGAGGGTGAAGCTTGGATAATCGAGCGGCCAATTTATGGATTGCGGGAAAGCCCCAAGATTTGGAGTGACTTTAGGAACAAGAGGCTTCGCAGTGCCAGAGTTAAGTATGGTGATATCACCCTTGTCCTTCGCCCGACCATCGTGGAGCCAGAGTTATGGATGATTCTTTGTGAGGTCACCGGGACGCTGTATGGACTGATGGTTCTCTACGTCGACGACATTCTCTACCTGAGCAACAGAGAAGTGATCACGGCGATCCACGAGTTTGTAACTTCAGAATGGCCCACATCGCCCTTGGAATGGCTTGAGGAACACAAGGCGGTACGCTACTTGGGGGTTGAGATTCTTCGAGAACCTCGAGTTGATGAACATGGAAACCAGTATCACGTGTATACCATTGGGCAGTCTGCGTATGTCCAAGATCTTTTACGAAGTCACGACATGCAAGAAGTGCATCCAACACAGCTGCCGGTGCCTAGAGAATGGGTGGAAGAGGCGGAAGCTTCAGAGGAGGTCGAGGAGGGCTTCACAGAGGACACGCTGCGCAGAGCCCAACGGGTGGTTGGGGAGGGTCTCTGGTTATCTACACGGACGAGGCCCGACATCTTGTACGTGATCAACCACCTTGCCTCCCTCGTAGCAAAACGACCTGACTACGTCCTCAGAGTGGGGAAAAGACTCCTTGCCTACCTGGCGGGAACGAAGGATCTACGACTACAGCTCGGAGCACCTCATGAGGATGATCATGCCGTAATCTGCTATACGGATGCAAGTTACGCACCGTTTGGAAAGCGCTCATTTGGGGCAGCGGTCATATGCCTACATGGATCTCCCATTTCGTGGAAAGCAGGCCGTCAATCGTTTGTTACATTGTCGGTCATGGAAGCTGAACTATATGCTGCTACCCAGGGCTGCTTACTGCTAGAAGGTGTGTATGCGCTGGTCAATGAAGTGCTGCCGGAAAC